CACCTTTTTTTAAAATTCTTTTTTCCCAGTTTCCTGGTCTTCCCATGGATGCGTCAAAATACTCGAAAATTGTTCCGCGGATTAAAGATAAAGGTGGAGATATCAAGGAGTGAGTGTTTCCCTTCCCCCTCCCCCTCCCCCTCCCCTCCCCCTCCCCCTCCCCCGCCCCTCCCCCTCGGCATCGCGCCTATTGAAATCTGAGAACGGCTTTTTTTACTGACCTTGTTTTTGTGTGTTACTATTAGGGGCGCCCCAAAGGTTCGTATCCCAGTGGATATGATGTTCTTCTTCATGTGGTTTGATAACTTGATAACTATTGCCCTTGTAGCCACCTGTCTGGACCATCTCAGCGCCTGATTTCAAGATTTTGAGGGAAACGGGAGGCGCTCAGCAGGTATGTGTGTATTTGCAGTTCATTTTTGGAGTTTTTATTTTATTTTACAGCTACCATGGCTGACGATTACCGTGATGTATACAGGTGTATATAAAAAACCTGATGGAACAGGTTCGAGCGCGGCCGAATGTGTTGAGTATGTTGGAGGGCAAGGGCACGGTGAAGGGCACGGTGAAGGACACAATGAAGGATACGGTGAAGGATTCCGAAAAGGGCGCCGACGGCTATTCGACTAGCGATACGATCCCTCGCAAAAACGTCGAAAGAACTATCCTTCTTCCACTGGACGCGGGTAAAAACCCCGTGTACTTCGTTCCAAACGTACTGTTGCGGACAAAGGCACCTAAGGCACCTAAGGAAACGATGGATAAGAGTGGGGCCTCTTAAAGAACCCCCCCCCCCCCTCTTGCGCAGCCGCATCGGATTTGTAAGTGCTCAACTTGAAAGAAGAATCGGAGAACGTCGGTAGAGAATCGTAAAAAGAATGGGAGAAGGCCACCCCTTGGGTTTTCTGTAGATAGTGCGTTGTAAGTAAAGATACTGGGAGTAGGCGGCACTATCGAATCATTGGAATGCCTTCAGAGAGAGAGACGCGAGCAGTGCCCAAGCCTCTGAGGGATTGTTGCGTGGATGTTCGATGTTCGCTATGGAAACTGGAGATTTCGGCTATTATTTCCCCCTATGTGGAAAATTGTTCGAGTTCGAGTTCGGCGAGCCAAAGTAGCGTAGTGATGGAGCGTAGCGAGCCAAAGTAGTGCAGTGTTGGAGCGTGAAGCAGTGTTCGATTCTGCAAACAAGCCTGGTAAGATGCTCAAGTTTGGACTATGTATATGTATATGTATGTGCCAACCGTTCCGACGAACGTCATTGCTGAAGTAACATTTGATGGATATCGATGAAGAAAGATGAAGATATATGAAGATATATGATAATCGATAAAGAGGAATCCGAGGAGGATGATTGTTTTCGATGGGCAGTGGAGTGTTGTGATACTGGAAAGAGATGGGGTTTGTGAGTAGGGAAGTTCAAGTAGCAGTTCCTGTTTGGCGATGAGAACTTGTGGGATTGGGTTGTAACGGCGTAGGGTGTAGACTTGTCTCCCGAGGTACGCCAGTTGATTGAGAAAGTAGCAACTGATACAACAGCGAATCGGGATGGACAACTCCAGTGTTCCACATGGCTTTGAGCGACGGAAGTAGCAACCGTTGCCGGATTTTCCGAGCACGATAGATGATAGGCTAAAGCATGAATATCGTTCCAGTAAATCATCGTGAAGAAGGCGATTGAATTTGAGCGCGAGACCATGGTATCGATTTGAGTGTTTACATCCTGACAGCATACGCAGCCCGCGACTGATATGCTTGAAGAGCTGCTTGGACTAGTATGTGACCGTACGACGCCATTCCGAGCACTTGTACTGGAAGGCAAAGAGGTACTCGGGGATGGAACTATGTTCCTCGAAGTAACATTGATACGGATGATTAACGCGATAGCAGTGCTTATGATGCTTATGATAGATAGTGATAGTATGCATGGATGGTTTATTGAGAAAGTTGATCATTGATGTTGAGCTTGAGACAAGTCGGGGTAGCAACCGTTTGGGTTGAACCTCTTGGAGTAATTAGCGCCTTGCGTCATGTGCAAAACGGGAATGGCGCTTATTCAAGTTATTGCTTCTGACGAAACCGCGCAACGATGCCCTCGACACCTGGAACGCCTTCAGGGAAAACAGCGCCCGTGACTTCACTAAGCGAAACACAAACAATATCGCAAGAAGAACCAGACACCATCTTCCTCGCTGCGCAGCGCGGAGATTTGTCACTACTCCAGTCGCTGCTCGCGCAGGGCGCCCAAGCGACCGACCGGGACTCGCAAAACATCACAGCTCTCCACTGGGCCTCGATAAACGCCCATCTGCATGTATGTCGGGATTTGCTGGAGAGAGGCGCGGAGGTGGATGCACGGGGCGGAGATTTAGATGCGACGCCGATGCAGTGGGCAGCAAGGAATGGGTATTTGTATGTCGTGAAATTGCTGCTGGAGTGGGGCGCGGATCCGACGCTCAGGGATGGACAGGGATATAACACGCTGCACTTGATAACGCACTCGTCTGCGGTCATGCCGCTGCTGTATCTCCTGCAGCAAAGGAAGGTGGAAGTAGACTCGGCGGATTTGCAGGGCCATACGTCTCTTATGTGGGCTGCGTACCAAGGCGATGCGGTTTCTGTTGATGTGTTGCTCAAATACGGCGCAGACGTCGCTACTAAAGATGAGGGCGGCTTGACGCCTCTTCACTGGGCCGTCGTGCGGGGCAACAAAGCCGTGATCAAGAAACTTCTCGAGAGCGGCGCAGACGTATCTGCAAAAGACTCGGGCGGGCGCACACCCAGAGACATGGCCGTCGAACTCAAAAGCATCGGCCCTTGGAAACGCGCGATGGAAGAAGGCGGCTGGGACGAATACGGTGTCCCACGATCTTCCGTATTCAGTGATCCCAAATACACATCTACCGCCATATTCGTTCTACCAACACCTCTTCTTGCGCTTGTATTCAACACGATATCCGTGTCGTGGCTCCCGTGGTACACAGCCCTTATCCTCGCCGCAGCAGAATGCTTCGCAGCCGGCCATATCCTTACCCGTGTTCTCCTCGGCCGAAAAACCCACGCTGACAGTCCGTTTTTCGCTGGGATCATCTTCGCGTCGCTCGTCATCGTCGTATGGTGCTGGGCTACGACTCTTACCACCGTCCATGATCATCCTACGGCTCATTTTATCTTCATCGTTTCTGCTTCGCTTTGCTTGTATAACTTTTGGCGCTCGGTTTCCCTCGATCCGGGTTTCGTACCGAATCACCAGCCAGATGCGGTTGAAACGCTTGCTAGTGAAGGAAGGTTGAATGGCCAGACGTTCTGCGTTAGCTGTATGGTGCGTTTTTTTTCTCTACCAGTTTTTAACCATACTTAATCGCTTTCTTTCAGGCTCGTAAACCTCTCCGATCCAAACACTGTCGCGTATGTAATAGATGTACGGCAAGACACGACCATCACTGTCCTTGGGTATGGAATTGCGGTTCGTTCTCTTCCTTGTATTCTTTTCCATCTCCTGACTCTTTCGCAGTCGGCTCCAATAACCATCGGCAATTCCTTCTCTTCCTCTTAAACCTCGTCATCGGGATAATCACATTCGTGTATCTCACCTACCAATGTAAGTTCCTTCCTTCCTTTCCCTTCCCTTTCCATCCCTTCCCAAGCCTTTCCATCTCGTCCCCATCCCTAAACCAAATCTTTAAACTAAACACTAACCAAACCCTCCCCTCCCGCCAGACTTCGCCCTAACCCCCACCCTCCCCGCCTCCCCCACCTGCCCGCTCCCCGACCCCGCCTGCAGCGTCCTCGCCACGAAACCCAACATCTTCCTCTTCACCGTCGCCCTCTGGTCCGCCCTCCAGCTCTCCTGGACCACCATCCTCCTCGCCGCGCAGCTCTGGCAGGTCGCGCGCCAGATGACGTCCCTCGAGGTGTCGAATGTCGGGCGGTATGGGTATATGGGCGGACGGGGCGTTATCGGGGTCGGGCAGATGGGGGCGCAGAACGCGAACCAAAGCCAGGGACAGGGACAGGGACATGGGCAGCAGCCGGGATCGCCGGAGCCGCCGCTGGATTCGGCTGCGAGTTTGCATTCACTGTCACATAACCATAACCACTCTCATCCGCACCCGCGAGGCCACAGGGGCGGAGGAGGAGGCCCCACCCATTCCTCCCACTCCTCCCATTCCTCCTTCACCAGCACGCTCCTCACCCTCCCCTGCCGCCTCTGTGCCCTCTGCGCCTCCTGCCCCGGCGCCTCCTTCCTTCTACGCATCACAGGGCTCGACCGGTTCACCGCGCAGGGCGGGGCCGCGCGCGGCCTCGCTGCCTCCTCTTCTCCTTCTTCTGGACCACAGAATCCGTTTGATCTGGGTGTGTATTTGAACTGCATGGACTTTTGGGGGATGGGGAGGGAGGTGGGCGTTAGGTGGGAGGCGTGTTATGAGGTGCCGGAGGGCGGGTTTGCGAGGGCGCGGGAGGAGAGGGTGAGGAGGGCTGTTGATGAGAGGGCTGATAGGGTTGTTGATGAGAGGGCGGAAAGGGGGGAAAGGCAGGAGGGAAGGAAGGGTGGGAGTGGGAGGCGATTTTGGCCGGGCGTGAGGCGGGTGTTTTCGATGCGCGGGGGCGGAAGGCGGGGTATGAGTATGAGCCGCTGGCGCAGGTGTGAGAGCGCGTGAGCGCGGGCTTGTGAATGTGGTAGACCGCGATGTAAAGCGGTAGTTAGAGGGTTGGAGGGTTGGGGAGAGTGTAGGAGCGTGTAGGAGTGTAAAAGATGTTAACGATGTTAAAGAGTGCTTAATGGTTACTTGGTTAATTAATTATGGACCTTGTTTTATTCTATTCTATCACGATTCAGTTTCGGTTTCGTTTGTGCTTTTGTGATTTATCGATATGTTACGAATCTTTTACGAAGAGTATTAATGCTTTATCTCATAAACATACATATCTAGACATATATAAAGGGATTCGTTCCCAAAATAAAGCTTCGATAAAAAAGACCACAGGATTACGTATCATGCTTCCTGCAAGCTTTCGAACTTGCGACCTCGAGAATATATCGCAGTACCACGCTCAGCATATATATATCGCGCTCTACCGACTGAGCTAAGGAAAGCATGGTTAATACAAGGTACGTTTTTCTCAGGCATTCCGTTGGACTACGGCTCGGAAGGAGAGGATGAGGATTCTGATAGTGGATAATGGGAGTAGTAAAGGTTTTCATCGTACTTTATCATTAGCTAGCCTCTTTTCCACTCTGGGGCCTTGCTACCCATCCCTACGCTGGACCTGCAGTCTACCTTCTCCTCGGGAGTCGAGCTCGCTGCTTGCGCTGTCGTAGGGACCGGCTGTTTCCCTTGCGGGACCACTGTCGGTATGCCGACTGGGCCGTGTACACCTTATACCTTATACCTTATACCGACTGAGCTAAGGAAGCATGGTTAATACAAGGTACGTTTGGATCTTGAGAGCTGTTCTTCGTTAGCTCCAGAATAGCATAGAGGAATTCCCGGAAATAAATACTCAAGGCAAAAAAAAACCATCTTAGCGACTTATATATACTCCCTGCAAGGCTTGAACTTGCGACCTCGAGATTATGCATGTGCTTTCCGCGTATTTGAGACTTGTGCTCTACTGGCTGAGCTAAGGAAGCAATGTAGTAGTAAGTACTATTTGTATGATTGGGGATTGAGGAGTCAAGACTATATCCCTGAAGGGTGAAGGGTCAGAAGGGAGGCTGAGAGGGAAGGAAGGAAAGGGAGAGGGGGGAAGGAAAGAAGGTAAGGGAGCAGAGGCTGTGTGCATGACCAGTAGGAGTGGGGACAGTCACCAGTGCCAGCAGCCAAGTTGGGGGAAGGGCATGAGGTGGTGTTGGCCAGGTGTGAAGGTTGGTGGTATATGAGCATGAGCTGCTGGCGCAATTATTAAAGTGCAAGTGTAATGGCAGGATTGAGGACTAGTTAAATAAGTTATTATAGAGTTGAATAGTAATTATGGTAGGTAGGGCGTGGGAACTCTTTGCCTCCCATTTGATTTTTCCATGCCTTGATAAGCCATTAACGTTTTAACATTAATAATTGGTCTTAGAATTAGAATCAACTCTCATGCACCTCCACAACGACTCTGCAATATCACTTGAATATGATGGGTGCACTGAAGCATTTGCCCATCTCCATAACAACAATCAAATCTCTCCAATCCTGCCCGAACATGACTGGGTCATCAAAGACGCATTTGCTCATCTCACTATTGCTCAGCACACCCCCTGGAAAGACAGTCCTGTAACTCAAGAGCTAGATCTTGCTTTCCAAGAGTAAGTGGCCTCAGTTTTGCTCTTCTACTTCATCTAATTGAATAAGATATGAGAAATCGATCCGAAGGCTCAACGAAGTATCCAGACAGTGGCCTTTGATCCATCAGTTTTTTCTTCCTCACCATTACATCTCCTTTCGAAAGTTCCGTCTTCTCTTGAAACGTCACAAGGTATCTTGAATCCTTGATATAGGTTTCGTAATATTACATTTACCTTTTCAACAGATTTACCTCAAAACATATTTTAAGGATCACGACTACTCTAACGAGTGGACAGTATCACATCTAGGACCGCTCCGGACCCAAATGGAAGCTACACCTCTTCAATGGAACTTGCGCGCTCGGGTGGCTCATTGCAGAATATGCTACGAGATGTACCCACCTCTAGAGCAAGAGGGTCGTCCCATCAGCTTTCCTCCTGACACACCATCAGTTACAGTTACCCGCAACGGACCTATCAGTTATCATTATGGTTGGGCCTCCTTTTATCGTGATGACGCGCACGCTGGGAACGATGTTTGGACACCAAACTTTCCCTACAGTGCGGAGCCTGTTCTCCATTCTTATTCTTCATCACAGTCTCCAGTACAGTAGTATTGACTCCTGTCTCTCTTCTCCTCCAACATATATCCAAAGTAATCTGTATATATTCATTGATACTTTCGCTTCCGATGATATTATATACTAGCCAACCTATGCCATCAGCTTTTTCTAAACTAAATAACAATTGTGGATCGAGATCTCCCTAAAGCAAACCGGTTTGGCGCAAGACCCGCAAAGCTTTAATTTTTCAAAGCTTGAGATCATTGACAAAATAAATAATAGATCCGACTGCAGCGAGTTTGCATGAGCTTTCACACCCGCACCCGCACTCCCACTCACACTCACACCCGGGGAGGGCCCACAGTGTCGGCGGAGGCCCCAGCTCCCTGAGCCTCCCTCCCCTGCTGCATCTGCGCTTCCTGCCCTGGCGCCCCCTTCCTCCTGCGATCACAGGGATCGACCGGTTCACCGCGCGCGGGCTCGCTGCCTCTGCCACTTCTTATTTCTCTTCTTCTGGGTTAGGGGCCCGGGTGCGCAAAACCCCTTCAATTTAGGTATATACCTGAACCGCATGGACTTTCCTATTGCTTGTATACAATCGCAACTTCAATAATGGACTCGCTTGTGGATCCCCATGCCATTCACGTACATGTGAAACTACACACTAAGCAATAGAAAGATTTGCTACGTCTGGGCAGGTTGTTCGAGGCCTGAGTTCCGACTCGGGTATTGATAAGGGTATCATAAGCGCCTATCCAAGCGTTGGCTCTTTCAAGTCTTACGCAACCTCACAACCTAGCTATTGAAGCTACAAAGCGAGATATACTAGATAATCAACACCGCACACCACTTGTGCTGTAGGTAAGCTATATATATAAAACCCTTTTAACTACAGACTAATTCATCAAACGCAGTGAAAATGCCCCTTGTGGACCTTCCCGAGGAACTACTATGCTCTATCTGTGAGAAAACCGAGCCCTCAACCCTCCTTTCCCTGGCTGCGTCATGTAAACTACTCAACCGAATTGCTGGATCCCACTACCTACTTTTCATCGCTCATGACAAGCGATGGATTTGCGTCGCAGATAAAGAGACATCCAGTGAGAGGTCCTTTGACACCTTACGAAACATCATGAGTATCGCTGGAAGTGTTTCCAGTGCAAGGATTCTGCGCTTTAGATTCTCACCATCAGCGGCCAAAACACTCCAGCAAATTCGACTCGTGACACTCCTGTTGCAAAGAATCCATCATCCCCTATCATCGATTCAACTTGATTTTAGTGGGGCGGAAAGATGGTCAAGTTTCCCTCCTTCTTTCAACATGTTTCCTTCCTTCAATGGTGAATTCGGACGCTTACTTTGGGAAGCACACCGTTTGCGTTGCTCGTCGCTTGCACTATACGGTATCATCCCTTGTATACAAGACCACTTCAAATTCAGCCCCCTTATAAACACATCGTTTTCTAATTTCACATTCGACGCCGCTTTCCTACTTTCCCGAGCACAGCGAGGATGGCTCACAGAGCTGTTGAATGCCTCCAAGGCGATTTCCTCAATTTTAGCTTGTTGCTCTGAAGGATGGACTCACATCCTACTCAAGCTTCGCTTGCCTTCCTTGACGGGATTAACATTTTTTACAGGACATGTAGGAACACCTACCGCTATCGAAGTTCTAGCTGAATTTTGCAATCGACATCCGAAGTTACACAGAATCGATTCTGGCCCATATCAATTCAGGATATCTTTGACCTCAAAGCTTGGCTGTCAATATCCCCTTCCCCAGCTGCAGATACTCAAAGCATCGGTCTCTCAGCTGCTGTATTTTGTTTCCGATCCTTCTCACATGTGTAATTTACAAGTGGTTGAGATTCGATGGCCTGCGCTTGACGTTCACTTAGCTTCAAAGCCATCGAACTCAAGCACTGGGCTCTGGCATCTTTTCACATGTCTATGCAATCGTTCCTCCATCCGAGAACTCGTACTTCCCGTTAATCTTCCCGGACTAGAAAAAGATGTTCTTTCAAAAGCGCAACCTTCATTAACATCCACATTCCCATATCTCACAAAGTTGCGGTTCATAGAGTTCAAGTCTCTTGCAGAATCAACGAGACAAGATTTTTTGAAGTGGGTTTCCAAGGTATTTCCCGGCTTGAAAACACTGGAGGTGGACTACATGGCGTGGGACGCCGTGCAGACTTCACGTTTTGCTCGAACTGTGGCCAAAGAATTGCCATTGACCGAGAACTTGAGACTTGAATTCAAAACTCGAAAGGTGAAGGAATGGATAGAAAATAACTTTTGAGTCTACTAATGCGTAACCTTCATGTTTGTATTTGCGGCCATGCCATTCTGTTTGGAAAATAAATATTTCTTTTCGTTGGTACAACAAGTTGGAGGAAGATTCGACTTGTCCACTACTCAGGAATGTACATCTTCGCAAACTTCCAAAATAGCATGGCCCTGATGACTTATCAATCATTGAACAACGAACAATACGGCAATTTATATCAGAAAGATTCAAAGCTCTGGGAGACAGGTGGAGAATATCGAAGCTTCATCCTACAACTTGTTCAGGCGTGCAACACACCATCCCTTGCCATTTGAGGATTATTTCGAAACCCTCTGCCAGGTTGATCGAAATACTTGACTTCATGGATACCAAAGTGATTAGCCATTCGTGAATTTTACCAATGCATACCGGACAAAGCTGTTTATCGTGACGTCCAAATCGGGCACTGCGTACTTTATCCATTATGATTCTTTCGCATCGTCACAAAACAAAATAACGAGCGTTGGCTCTTCCGAGGAAGTTCGTTTACCTAATAATGAATTAACATCAGCTATCTAGGCAAAAAAAATGCTATATCCCTTTTTCCTTTCACCCAGGCTTCCGCTCTCAGCTCTGCCTCGATGGTCGCAGAGCATCTCATGTTCCTTCACTCTCAAAATGGCACAGGAATATTCCGCTCCAGATATCCACTCCAAGTCGGTTGTGTTCGCTGCCAGGGAGTGCCAGACGAGAACTGAAGATCCTCAATGGCGCTCGCGTATCTGATAAGTGTCGCCTCAGAAAATGCGGTGCCCATTAGCGCAAGCCCGTATGGCATTTTAGATTCGGCACCAACTCCCGCTGGTAGAGTCAATACGGGGTACCCAGCCTGTGCAGCTATCTCGTAGGTAGGACCAAAGTCTGGAGGCACCAGGAGTGCAGTCAGATTTTGACCTTTATACTTCAGAGCTGCATCAATACCGTCTTCGCGACTGGTGCGCTGGCAGTAGTGCAGCGCCTGCCAGTATGTCTCATTCCGGATGCCTTTCGTGGCTAGTGATGCAAGGAATCCATCCTGTCCGGATGCAAAGGCTGGGTTCACCCCCGGGAGACCCCCTTCACTACCTGCATTATCCAGATTGTATTGCACAATATCTTCGAGTGAGCGTATATTGGTATTGTTCAGCTCCGCCAAATAGTCCCGGATATTGTTGTAAAAGTCGACCTTGATATAGGTAGCTTCCGATTCATTGGGAAATCCCCGCGTGCTACCAAAGTCCCAATTCCACCCCGACGGATCGACAATGTCCTTGTAGTATGGGAGTTCTGTTCCGTTGATGATGGTGGCCCCAGCCGACTCGATTAGCTCCAACAGTTCTGCAAGTTGGGCATTTTGCGTCGCATCGTTAAATTGCCAGAACGACAGCCACGGGAGTCCAAAAACCGCGCCTTTGAGGGCTGATTTATCGGTCAAAAACTGAGCATAACCCCCTGGGGGAGTTTTGCCTTGTTGGGCAAAAGTTGCGTTA